CACGGCACTCTACCCAGGGGGACAGCTTGAGGCTCTGTCTCAAAAAAAAAAAAAAAAAAAAGATAAGAGACTATAAAAGAAGAGAGACTAAGATTTGGGGATAGTAGTACTGCATCTGAGGTCTTTTGTGCTTGCTTAATGAAATGATTCTTTCTGACCTATGCTGCTTTGCGAATTTCATTTGAAAATCAATTTAATGGTCTGATTGATAAAGAATGAGCTTTATTCCCCCCTCAGCCTATGATTTCTCCTCCAATCAGCTGGTAGGGTTTTATTTCTCTTGGGGATCCCCTCTTGGATATATGATCGCTAAAGGATCACTCAACCTTGAATACAGAAGTCCCAGGTTGTTCTTTTTGTTGTTGTTGAGACAGATTCTCACTATGTCACCCTCAGTAGAGTGCTGTGGCATCACAGCTCACAGCAACCTCAAACTCTTGGGCTTAAGTGATTGATTCTCCTGCCTCCGCCTCCCAAGTAGCTGGGACTACAGGCACTTGCCACAATGCCCGGCTTATTTTTTGGTTGCAGCCAGCATTGTTGTTTGGCAGGCCTGGGCTGGATTTGAACCCATCAGCTCAGGTGTATGTAGCTAACGCCTTAGCAGCTTGAGCCATAGGCGCTGAGCCATCCTGGCTATTTTTTGTTGCAGTTGTCATTGTTTAGCTGGCCTGGGCTAGGTTTGAACCTACCACCCTCTGTGTATGTGGCTGATGCCATAACCACTGTGCTCTGGGCGCCCAGCTGTCTCAGGTTATTCTATCTGATATTAGCATTGACTTACTCTGTGACTATGGGAAACATTATATTTTCTCTCATTTTGTTTTCTAACAATGGCAGAGGTAACTGTTCTTATGATTAAACAGCCCTTTATTTTATTTTTTTAAAAGTTTTAATTTAATTTAATTTTTTGTTTTTTTCAGTTTTTGGCTGGGGCTGGGTTTGAACCCGCCACCTCTGGCATATGGGGCCAGCGCCCTACTCCTTTGAGCCACAGGCGCTGCCCTATCATTTTATTTGAGACAAAGTTTCACTTTGTTGCCCTTGGTAGAATGTGCTGGTATCATAGCTCACAGCAACCTCAGACTCTTTGGCTCAAGCAATTCTCTTGCCTCAGCCTTCCAAGTAGCTGGGACTACAGGCGCCTGCCACAACACCCTGCTGTTTTTAGAGACAGGGTCTTGTTCTGGCTCAGGCTGGTCTTGAACTCGTGAACTCAGGTGATCCCCCCACCTTGGCCTCCCAGAGTGCTGGGATTACAGGCGTGAGCCACTCTGCCTGGCCCTTAAACAGCCCTTTAATCTGAAATATGTGCATACTCACTGAATTTTGTATATAATCTCATTGGCTTTGTAAATCATCAGACCCTATTCATAATCCCCATACAGAGCTTTTTTTGGACAGGATTTTCTTTTTTTTTAAATTTTTTTTAGAGACAGAGTCTCACTTTGTCACCCACAGTAGGGTGCTATGGCATCACAGCTCACAGCAACCTCCAGCTCTTGGGCTTAGGTGATTCTCTTGCCTCAGCCTCTGGAGTAGCTAGGACTACAGGCACTCGCCACAACATCCAACTATTTTTTTTTGTTGCAGTTTAGCCAGGGCCGGGGTTTGAACCTGCCACCTTTGGTATATGGGGCCGGTGCCCTACTCACTGAGCCACAGGCGCTGCCCCCTTTTTTTTTTTTTTTTTTAAGACAGAGTCTCAGCTATTGCCCTGGGTAGAGTACTGTGGTGTCATAGCTTACAGCAACCTCCAACTCTTGGGC